CCTTGGCCTAATGTGGCGCATGGCAAAGCACACAGCGTAACGCAGCGCGCTTCCTCAAACACGGCCTCGACTAATCTGTTTGTGCCCGGTTCTTGCGCGCCGTCATCCTGTCCCGACACAGACTCACCAGTCTCCGGACCTCATTCACCCTTATCGGTTTGGGCTGCTGCAGCGCGCAGTCAGCCTGTGCTACCAACGGGACGCTGCTTCGAGAGACCCAACGCTTTCGAGACCGCCAACTGCCATGGCCACCCTTCGCTGCACGCACATCTGGCCCATCTGCCGCCCGTTCTCCGGGTCGTGAAGCGCCGTCTCTTGCCGCTATCATAGGTGTCGGCTGTGGTCGAGGTCCTCTTGGTCTGAGACGACCGTTTGGCATGTCTCTCGTCTTGGAGATTTGTACATGTGCGACGTGGCTGGTATTCATCTTTCTGTTGGGGTGGAACCTGGCTAGCCAGTTTTCTGGAGCCGGTGATCTTTTTTGGAGAGTACCATCGGTAGGTCCGTCGTCGTTGGGCCTCTTGTATGAAGGCGCATCTGAGTATTGCGACTGTCTTGCGTCGCTACTCCCGCAAGCAACGCGATTCTTCCGGAATCGTGCCGGCCCCCACGAATTTGAAAACTTCCGGCGAGCCGACTCTATTGCGCCCGTTGGCATCTTGCCCTCAGCCTTGCTCAGATGCCACGATGAAGAGCCCGTCAGGCGCTTTGGAAGCCGAATGCTGCCCTTGAGCTTGTCGTCCAACCCATCTCCGATAATGAGTGCTTCGAAATGCTCAATCGTGTTGCTAATCCGTGGAGGATTCCTTGGCTTCCTCGGACCGGCCACAACATGCTTCTGCTTCGGGCATCGTGCAGGGCTGTCTGAAGATCGGGCCTGATGTGATGTCAAATTCATGTTCGTTGCATCGCCATTTGACCCGCCTTGCTTCATCTCGGTACCGCAGCTTCTCTTATACATCACACCGACCTCAATGGAGCGTGTTGGATTGGATGTCCGAGTCGCGGCAGCTCCATGATGAACAACCTCATCAGTAGATGTGGAACGTCGGTTGCTCGCAGTGAGATTCCCGTCACCAAAACGTTGCGAGGGTGGCATGGTCTCGAATACCTCGGCAGCAGCATGCGGGGTCTCCTGACCTTCGTCAGGCGCCTTCTCTTCATTTGGGCTGAGGTGCTCATGAGTCTGTATCTGTTTTCCTTTGCTAATAAGCGTGGGAGCAGGGTTGGAGGGGCCGGGTGTAACAACAGAGGTCCAACCGTCGTCCAATCGAGCCTCTTGCATACACCTCTGCACACAATCTGACAAGGTGTGAGGCTGCGTACCGGTCTGCACGTGCGGAAGCGAAGGACATGTCGAAGACAATGGCAGATACCCAGCCAGTCGTTCAGACACGTTTGGCATCGTCGGACGCGACAAAACGGCCGTCTGGCTCTGGGCCATGCATGGTGATGGAGACTTGAGGCGCAGCGTCTGCCATGTTGGTAGCCGAGGCGCCTGCTTGACTGAACGGCTAGATGCGTGATGAGCATTGACACGTGCATCTATTTGGCCAGCCTTGTTGTCAGCGTCCTGTTCAGATCCAGCAGCTCGGATATGCATGGAACACGGGCCTGTAGAATAGTTACGTTGACATACTGAGCTTGACATCTCCGAGATTTACTTCAAATAGCTTCCTACGTTCGGCTACAAGTGAAACGTGGACTTCTTCTATGACGTGTTCGTCCTCTCTAGGGAACTCTCCTAACGCGGAGAAGTTTTCGAGTTGTTCGCTTGTCGCATTTTGGTGCACTGATTGGGCCGATGCAGACGATATACTCGATGGCGGTCTGTTGAGCTCCAATGTGGATTCATTTCCACCGGGCAGATTGCTTCTCTTGGTCAGACGCAATTTGCTTTGGCGCGATGAACTATCCAGAATCTCAAATTTGGACACCAACTGAGATAGTCTCCTTCCGTGTTCCGATAAGCGCTTCTGTCGCGGGATCGTTGCCATTTCATGTTTTGGCGAGGAAGCAAGGTTTGCTATGGGCTGACTGGTGGTTAGCAACGGGCGAATCGGCATTGTTTCCAATCAGATCCTTCATATTTCGATTCAACGCGCTTTGTGTGAAATGTATAAATCAGATGACGTTTGCGACGCTCGATTCTAGTGTTTCTCAACAAGCTTTCTCAGGTTGTTTATCGTCGGCGACGGGAACGCCTGCCGTATGCAATGCGCCTCTGTCCGTCGTGCTCGCGAGGAAGGTGACGTGGGCACATCCAATGATACAGTTGCTCAAGGTAATCAAATCCAGTCGCACTCTTTCTTCACCAGTCTCTTTCGTCCAACATCCATCGTCCATCACATCTTTCATGCAGTAATCAAGAATCGGACGCATGCTCGTAGGAAACTTGGTACTCAAAATTCGGCACACATGATGAGCTTCCATTGTACAATAAATCTGAGAAGAGTTATTCATTGATTCGAGCCGCGCTTTGGGATCATCCTCTCATGCCCAATGCAAATCATGTCCATGGCTCTTTAGGCTTCCTTTTCCGTTCCGTGATTCGCCTTTCCCATCCGGGTGTGCCAGCAATCTAGCGTACAGTTCATTCCATCTATATTACAGGTGTATATGTCGTCGGTGACCGACGGCTCTTTTCCATCGACGCATTACGGATATTGTTTTCGTTTTTCGCACGCCGTCCAATGTCATCATCACTTACTGGCTACAGAAGAGACAAATTAGCATGGACTGGGGTCCCAATATGGCAGAGGGGGGATCGGGGCGCGATCGCATACGGAGGCAGTAGCAGCTCGCCCCAGGAGCTAGCAAGAAACGTAACAGCGGCCTAGATTGTGAAAGTCAGCAAACATTCGTGTAGCGTTCAAATGATGCCTCGGATACGAAACTCACGCCGAACGCGGCAATGCTTAGCACCACGGCTGAATTGTCGGGAGAGGTCAAGGTGTCGTAGGTGGAAGCGAGGTAGCCCTTGGGAGCGCGTCGGGACTTTTCACCATGAATTCTCTTGGGAGGCATGTTGGGAGTGTGTGAGGGCTATTGGACGGAATGTGTCGGCGATGCTGTCGTGACGGAGACGGAACTGCAGATGGTTATGACTGCAGTGACGACGTCTCCAAGCACTCGAAAATTTCCCGCCCAGCCTTATCGCTGGTAACTACGGATAACGACCAAAGAAGCTGGGTTGGAGCCGGTCCACCTGCCATCACATGATTGGCCCCGGTTGAGCCTCCCATCGCGGCATGTGAGTTGCAGCTTGGAACTTGTGACATGTTCTCCTTGCTTGGAACTTGGGGGTGTCATGGGGTAGGTTTCATGGTTCTGCTTACGTTGAATACGTAGGTATGTCATCGGAAACGGGATCTCATATGTCACGATACATACCTGATGGTGGTACATAGCACTGTAGTACCTGTGCGAGATCATCGGGCACTGAACTCGCTGGTGTTCCCCCACTGAAAGCGATACATGTGCAGTTATTCCATCGATAAAACCCAGAGTTTACAGAAGCGATTTCATCAACACAGAGTCCATCCGTATCAAGTTATCAACGCAGAAAGTCATCAAAATCAACACAAAGCTTCATCACTATCACAGACTTCTTTTGTTCAGTATGAGCCAGGAACCAGGCGGATTCTTACCGCAAACCGAGCTTGCCTCTTTCGGTACCTCCTTCGTCCACAGTCGCGCAATAAGCACACTTCCCCATCCTCGCGAACACCCCCTCAAGCCTGGTTCCAACAAGGAAGACTCCGTCCGACGATGGGCTGAAGAGACTCTCCTCAACACTTCTCGTCGATACAGCCAAAGGAACAGCAGTACCGACTTTGACAACGCTTTCAAGTCCATGGCAGAGGTGTGCATGGCACTAGAGTCTATCATCGACATTCTCTGGAAATCCGGAACACGTGCGTGGTGACAGTGTAGATGATTCAAACCCTTCCATCCTTAGTGTACCAGTCGTGCTCACAGTGTTTCAGCCAGTTTGCAGATACCATTCCTTCTGAGAATAGCCACCGACTTCACTAGCTACGTCTCCTCATTCCCGCCCTCCCCAGCCGCAACCTTCGACCTTCTCCGCAAGCTAGACCATTGTTTCGCCAGTCTATTGTGCGGCATGGACATTGACTCCAAAGAAGCGTTGCCAGGGTTCGAGAACGGCTTGAATGCTGGATTGACGACTACCGATATGGTTCGATGCATGGGCCTAGTGGAGCGGACTCGGGTCCTCATGGTTGAGATCATGAGCAATACTCAAGAGGAGGATTACAATTTGGACGAGGAGGGCAGCGCTGACGCTGCTGGGGATAGTGTGGCAAATGCGGAGAAGGAGAAGCTTCACATGGATGTGGCGAGGATCTATGAATTCACCATTGTTAGATTGGAGGAGAGAATGGGGAATCAGCTAGGCGGCGAGAACAAGGTGGCTGACTCGACCGTGTGCGCAAATTGAGTAATGAAAGGTTAGGTAGGCATCGTGACGATTTCATGAACATGGAAGCATTTGAACTCACAGTGTAACACTGACAATACCTATTTACTCACTCTGGCGATCATCGTTGAGGCACGCCCGGAGGTAATCGCTAAATGTACCATCAAGACGCAGGTTAGGGGTTAGTTAGGGGTTAAGTTAGGGGGTCAGGTGTTACATACATAGCTATGTAATGGAATTTGCAATGGTACGTGTGGTATGTACTAGGTGCCGATGGTACAAGCTGCGATTGCACGACAAGCCCGTCCTAATACCCCACACATATGTCCATCTCCGTATGCCTGGGCACATAGTTACATGCAACTACAAGACTCCCCAACATCTTCGCAGAATGGAACGAACATAATGAGAACTTAAAAGTGAACACTGAACACTCGATACAAAATGAACGGCGGACTGCAGAAAAGATGTACAGGGATTTCTCAAAAGACCAAAAATAATAGATCCATTCTGCGCAGCCAAGGCGAATGACTGTGAGTTGGAGGACATAGTCAAAAAACGACAAAGACAGGATTTGAACCTGCGCGTCCGAAGACATGGCATTACCAATATTCGAGTGCCACCCATTAACCACTCTGGCACTTTGCCTGGCTTGACTTGTTGTGAAATGCTCCCCGTTCTATTGCATTATGAAGAGTATATTGCAGAACAAATGCAACCTCCAGAGTCTTCAATCGTACATGATCGCACTGCAACGTTGCAGATTCATCGTGCGAGCGTCGCCACAGTCGCCAACTCGCGCAACGCCAAATTGTTCCCCTGGCGGTTGGACTGGGCTGAGATTGCTGCGTTAGCCAACAAAGGCGGCTGTGGCCCGGCTAAAGCCTCAAGATACTTCCTTCCACTGGTCTTTCCGTGGTTTACATCTTCACTGAATTTCAGACACGTCTTTCTCTTCTTTGGTTTAGGCCTTTGGGGGTCTTGGAGACCTCCAACGGCTTTCGCCTTTTGTTCGCGTCGAACGTTACGGAATCCTGTTTTCTTCCCTCGTCTTGTTATTGTTTTCTCTGGCTACTCGATGCTATCTGGCACGACGAACGCGGTCCGCTCTGCACTCGCTCCGATTCCGCAATGATATGCCGTCAAAAGTTTTGTAATCACCCAGCAATGCAATTAGCTCGTAACACAACAAACGGCGTTGAATCTCTCAGGGGCGGTGTGATTGCGAAGTATGTATGCCACGCTTGCGTCTTGTCACGAGCCGAGATGGCAAACAGTCTGGTGAGGAGTCATGATATTTTCTACACCTTCTCATGGTGATGGAGAACTTTTGGAAAACTGGCTTGGGAAGCCTTTAATACCTAAATATCTTCATGTTCGAAGACCTCTGTTTGCTAATGCCTTTGCATATGGCTTGCTGCCGATAGGGTGTTGTAAACCCCGACACCCACCGAAGACTTTCGTGTCGTCTGCAGGAATCACCAGAGTCTAGCATCGCCTCTTTTATTCTCATCCCTTCAGCTCCGCGAGTCTTGAAAAAAGATTGATAGTTGTCCATGCTTTTTTTTGGCGTTTACCGACTGCTCGGAACTCGGTGAACTAGCTACTTCAAGAATAAGAGACCGAACCGCTTCATAGTACCCTCAGAACAGATTGAACACAACGATGCAGTACTACGAGGGCCACATATACAATTAGGACGAGAATACTCGACGAGCCGTACGGTTTACTTGACTCTCGAGGCAGCTAGTCGTATATCTTTGTCGTCGTAGTACTGCATAGTTGTATTCAATGGCTTTGAGGATACTTGGAGTCGTGCGATTTCTTGATTCTTGAAGCAACTAACTTAGCTGACACGACGATGGGGATTTTGAACAGTTGGTTTGACGCAAAAACTATGAATAACTATGCTTCCTCCCGGGGACCTGCGGAGCTGAAGGAACTGGAGAAGATGAAAGACAAGCAATGGTCAAGTCTGATGATACTTGTCGACGACGCGACAATCTTAGAAGGATGGCGGGTCTATGCAGTCAAAAGTCAATTTTCGGCAAGCCATATGTAGAGGCACGTTGGTCTGCGCGAGGTAATTAGCAGAGGACAATATCCTCTACGGAGATACGTGAAGTAAGGTTTCGTAGATAATGCCGGTTTTACCTGCCCCTAGATGGCAGGACGCAACTGTCAAGTGGCAGAGAAGGTTATACATACGTTCTTGCTCGCTGCTGCGACCGGACATATTCCCTCCTCTTGTCCTCACTCCTCCCATTCTCAGGCTTACGTTGCGGTAGTCTGGAAACTATGTCAACTTCGCCGTTGCTCTTGCTTGGTCGGTACCTACGAAGTTGTAGCTACCCAACTCCTACCCATCGTCGGCCGTTTCAAGAGATGGGTACAGTGCCTGGAGAGGGCCCAACACCGAATTGTAGCATTCGCAAACCATCACAACATGGAATATTTCACGAACGTGAGACACCTCAATCCTCGACAGGCGCGCTGGTCTCAGGACTTAGGAGGCTACAGCTTCGTTATCACATACCGATCAGGCAAAAACAACGGCAACGCCGACATGCTTCCTGGACTACTGCAACACGAGCCTGAGGAGGGGGAAGGTGAGTACCGGCCAGTGTCGACAGTCCTGAAACTATCACTCACATTTCTTCTCCTCGATCTTGCTCACACTCACTCGCCTCTGCAGTTTTTCGACTCGCAGATGGGACGTAGACTTCATAATAGTCGAGGAAGCCGAAATTTTTGACAAGGCATACAGAGCCGAACTCGAAAAACGAAGACAGGGAAGAGAATTGCACTTTACAAGAAGGACTTCTGTCGCGAAAGCACAGACTATGGTTGCCAACCTCGTTACAGATGGATGTTTAAGTAGTTTTAAATCGCGGTACCAAGGTTGCCAGGTACATGGAAATGGACAAGGGCTGTCTGAGTCGCCCACGCAACAAGTGTCCCAGTCATGCTTACCACGGACTTTGGCAACCTATGGAGGAATATGATAACTATTACCTAGTCGAAGGTCTCTGCTCCTGATCTTCTGAAGATTGCAGGTATAGCATAAGCTCTTTCCCGTCAGGTGCCGTACATCTATCTGCGCGAGACCGCCGAGACTTTGGAGTCCAGTCTTGTCATGTGCTTGGTGTGTGTCGATGGAGTAACTAGTAAACTCATGTATACTAAAGGTACATCAAAGCTGTGTCATGTTGGCTCGCCTCGACCGTGTCTGCTCGATACATGGCTGCTGGCCTGCTGGCATGGAGGTGAAGGAGCCTCGTGGCTAGGGATAGGCACGACGAGTGTGCACTGTGCTGGCAACGAGGGATTAGAAAGAGCACAGTGAAGACATAGAAGTCACGACAATTCAACGAAAGACGCAGTCAGCCTTGGAAATGATACGCATAGACAATTAATAACTTAGAGGACAGTACCGATGAACAGTTGTGCCTAGTCGTGTAGATCAAGAAGTTGCGCTCAACATGCTGTCCAACTCATCACCGTTCCGTCATATACACCACGAGTCGCGGCTCTCTGGTTTCGCATATCGAAATAGGTAGATCAACGTGACGAAGTCTCTCGAGTTTTTTCGCTGTCGACGGATGTGCGGACTACTGAATCGTCCACGCCTAAACAGCAGCGTTCTCGAGGGTCCGGTCTGAGGTGTTTGCGACCACCCTGTGCCATCCATCGCTATCCGTCTTGCGCAGTTTTGATCGTATCATGGCACGGCCATTCCTGTGGCGGTATTGTCAATTCCTTCTTCGTTCCCTTGCATTTTGATGCTGATGAGAACGAAGCTGTCATGCGTTAATTCACGCAACAGCGCCAGCTTGTGTTGTTGTTAAAATTGTGCCTACTACCAACATTCAGTAGAGCTTAGACCAAGGACCAAGGCCATGCAAGCCAGCTCTGCCAGATGTGATTGCTTCAGAAACATTACCAGGCCGTTCGACGAAAATAATCAGAACGTAGATTTCTTCGGGCCTTCAAAAAATATAACGAGCAGCCTGCTAATGGGGCGGCGAGGCCACGAAAAAAACAAAGCTCGACGGAGACAAGATTCGAACTTGCGCGGGCGAACCCAAATGATTTCTAATCAGTCTCCTTAACCACTCGGACACTCCGCCTTATTGAGCTGCTAAAAACCGAGGTAAAACTTACTATGGATGTATGGTCAGTGGGCACTCGAATTACAGGCAGTGCGCACACGGTACATACCTATAAGTTCTCAGCATTTGACTCGTGAAGAAACTGATGAACGATGCGTAAATCAGAGTGCCTTGTACAATAAAACTTTGTTTTTCTCCTCAATGTTTGACCGAGCTCGTGCGCACAAGCATCAAAGCGTCGGGTAAAAGTTCAATCTGTGTGTTGATCGGATTAACCGCAGTTTGTCGCATCGACCAATATGCAAAGAGGGAGACATTATACATATGTATGTATATCACGATTCACATGCCTCATGCATTACCATATCGATATATGTAGCAACATTGTTATCTTGATCAATGATTACAGTTCACAGTGATATGTACACACAAACCTCCAGGCCTCAAGGATCAAAAACCAATTGGCCAGCCAGACATACATAGGCACGAATGCGAATGCACTCTTCGGATAAATGCAGCCAGAAAAAACATTGAGCGCGCAATTGTTGCGCTCATCAGTCCATTAATCTTGGTGTCTGTCCACTACATATTTTCAATGCCATCAGAGAATCTCAGTATTGCTAGCTTGCTAGGTACTTTTACTGAAATTAGTACTCAGTACATATCCCATTAGCGGTCCGTAGGCTCACTTCATGTCACGTGCCCCACACCCCCCTTGCTCGTTGATCGCGACTTGGAGTGACATGATTTGTGAGGACCGCTGCCACCAGCGCCCTCAGCCACGTCACGTGATGGTTGCAGATTCGGTGCAACCTGCGGAGTACTAGGGCTCAACGCCTGCCGCACCCCTTTTACTCATCCCTCCTTTTCTCTCTGTAGTCTACTCTGTGACCAGTCGTGACATGATTGATGACTGTCATGGTCTGGGCTTTGCCCAGCCCTCAGCAATATAGGTGTCAATTGTACAGAGTTCAGGAACTTGTACAATGCGTATTCTTTTGTTGTCTTCCATTGCGCAACGGGATTGGGCACATCCACGTCAGCCCACTTCTGTTATGATTTGGCTGTATAACCTGCTGTAGCCCTAACAGCAGTCCACCCCCGAATGGAAAACTCGAAAATGCCGCACTCAGCACCACCACTTC